ATTACTAATGGGTCCCTGAGGGAATGAAGAGGAGAGGAGGCTGCAGAAAAACAGCCAAGGTGGTGCTTTCTCAGAGCCGGGAGAGACGGGCAAAAATCCTTCCTCTCCTCCGCAAAGAGCTGAAGCGACACCATCAGGACGACGACCTGTCACATCCTTCACTGGAACTGAGAACTAGTGGCTCAACCTCGTCGTCTGGAGTGATGTAAACCAACTGTCAAAGGCCAAACACCGCAGGGTTCCACTTTAAATGAGGTGTTCACACTGGTCCAGCTCACAGAGCTGGCGAGTAGGATAGTGGTTGCTGGGGGGGGGGTGGATATGGAAATGGTAGGATGGTGGTTGCTAGGGACTGGGAGGGGATGGAAATGACAGGATGATGGTTGCTGGGGAGCAGGAGGAAATGGAAAGGATAGGATGGTGGTTGCTAGGGACCAGAAAGGGGTAGAAATGATAGGATGCTGGTTGCTGGTGAAGGGGGGGGGGGAGAGGAGATGGAAGTGACAGTCAGTGTTTAATGGGTATAATGGCTACAGATTTGGTTTTGCAAGAGGAAAGGGATTCCAGAGACCACAGCAGTGATGGCTACAGAGCAAGGTGAGTGTAACTAGTATAGATGAACTGCATTTGAAATGATCCATTTCCTGCTTTGTGTATTGAACCGTTAACTTCCGTAGTTTAAATGTTCTGAGAACAATTACCTTTCAAGACCCAAAAGGAAATAACCACCCACTATAAACGCTAAACCTAGAAAGATATCTTTAAAAAAAAAAAACTGAAAGGGAGGGGATGAAATTCCTATCAGATCAGTGAAGCAATTTTACGACCAAGAAATTTTCAACATCTGTCAGTATGACTTCGGTACGCACACAGATAAAACAGGGCAGAGTTCATGTCGCACCGCCCGTTTCAAAGAGGCCACGTCTGTCCCCACATGACCCTCAGCTATCGGGCCAGCCATCATCTCTATAACAACATGCCCCAAACATTCCCTGGGACACCAAGTTCAACACACAGGTTCATGAGACCTTTCCTTGGACAGACAGGAGGCCAGAGCCCGCCCCAGGGGCTGTTTTATTGAGCACACATGTGACTCAAGACGAATCCTGTGGCCCCTCTTCTAACGCACGCCGCTGCCCTCTGTCCGCTCAACAAGACGGTGAGAGCTATGCCCAACAGGCCACACCCTGCACTGTACACACAGCTGCCAGCCCCCCAGCTGTAAACAGCCAGGCCATGAAACCCACACTGTACCGGCCACACCTCCCACTCTGTCATATAAACAGCAACCAAGCAGGACAGTTAGGAGGCCAATATTTGCAGATAAGAAAAACAGGCAGCGTGCAGGCCTGATCCCTGAGATAAAGGACTCGCTTTCAGCTCCCCATGACGCACAGGGCCGCACTGCCTCGGCAAAGAACATTAACTGTGATTAACACGTTGAGCCCTTGGTCTCTGGCGAGTGGCGCTTTTTCGGAGGTCCTGCCAACTGTAGTGTCACCTGGCTCATGGAAGACGGTCACCAGGGGAGGTAATGGAAGGGGGAGGCAGCTCGTCCCTGGTCCTCCTTCCCTCTGCTTCCGATCTACCATTCAGTGCACAGCTCTGCTCTAACACACAACTCCACCGCTGCAATGTTCCCAGCAGATGCAAAGCAGAGGTGTGTGGCTATGGAAACCTCTGAAACCCAACTCCAAGACACGCTTCCAAGGGAGAACCAGAAAATCCGAGACACTCCTCCATGGGGAAGCAGCCCATCTGAGACACTCCCCCCAGCAAAATGAAGAGCATGACTGAGGTATGTGCCTGCAATCCTGCGGTGGGATACCGCTAAAGAGGGCATACCTGTAAGCCGCAGGCTACCACCATGTACTGGAAAGTCAAGACGAATGTGCACACTGGAAAGTTAAGATGGATGGGCACACTGGAAAGTTAACATGGACGGGCACACATGGCTAACTAGTATTGTCTGGGAGACTTAAAATACTCCCCCTATGACAACTAAATGAGAACATCTGCAGGGAGAAGCCAGGGACAGGGTGGGGTGGAAGACTTCCCCGAGCAGGAATACAGGACACAGCATGGTTGAGGGACCACTCTCACAGGTCACACTGCACCGCACAGGGCCACCGAGTTACCCGACGGCAGGGTGAGGCCGCCGCTCATGTCATTGTCATTCACAGATACTGAATGAAGCAGCAGTTGCCACTTGAGAAAAGGACTCCTCACCTGGCTGGCCTGTGTTTCCAACCACGGAAATCAGCTCTTTCTTAGTAAGTTAGAAGACGAGCAACTTGTCCTTTGATAGGACTAAGGTCCTGTAAGACTCCCAGGTCAGACGGAAGTTCATATTAGAACTAAAACAATAAGTTATCTAGAAGAAAAATATTAAACTAGCACAAGCGTTCAGAGCACTACTAGTTCATTCTGTCAAATGTTAAGATAACATACCTTGAGGACAGAAAGTCTTGCCAAAGTATATCACTTTCCATGACCACCGAACGCTCTCACTTTGACAGACCCCTCAGGGTCCTCCCTACACAACTTCAGAAAGACAGCCTGGCCACAGACCAACAGACAAAGTTATCAGGTTAAGTCACACGACACTCCTAGCTTTGGAAAGGCCAAAGCACTTGAAGATTGGCAACTGCATATTGTCTAAATACAAAGAGGTATAGTTCACACTGAACTACAATTAATTTAAAATAAACACAAACTCTGATCTGAGAATCATGAATATAATCACAGACACAGTCAAACTTTCCCCAATCCCCTGAGCAGGCCCACTGCCTCAGCCAATCACCTTTACCCAAACCCTGAGCAGACCCACTACCTCAGCCAATCACCTTTACCCAATCCTGTGAGCAGGCAGGCCCACTACCTCAGCCAATCACCTTCACCCAGTACCCTGAGCAGGCCCGCTGCCTCATTCTCAATCTGCACAAGCTTCATTAAATACATTCTGAGAAGAAGCTGAAGTGTCTGCAGAGCTAACACCTTAGACAGAGCGGCGATGACCTACCTACAAGGGGAAAGCTGAAGTTAACACCTTAGAAGCTGGCACAGAGAACAAGTTCCCTCCTTCCCACCAGCTCTCCTGTCACGGGGCTCCAAAGTTAGTGAGGACCAGCAGGTCAACCCAGAGCGGATTCTTCTGGAGCAAGAAGAGGATCCTAACATCAGAAGCTAACCACCTTAGCTTGGCTCGGCATTCGCAGGCCAGCCATCTCAAAACCCACTCCTCAGAAATCAGCTCCAAGGGGGAACTGGTCCCCATTCTTCAAGCCAGACGCAAAGTCAGGAAAGCCACCGCAGACTGGACCATAGATATGGAGGGGGAAAGAAACGCTATGCACCGTGTACAAACACGGTGCAGACTTACCGCCCTTTGCTAAGTTAAATCCTACAATGGCCCTGAGCCAAGAGAGAGAGAGGCAGAGAGAGACAGAGACAGAGACAGAGAGAAAGAGGAGACCTCACCTTGACTAAAGCAGCTCTCTTTATCCAACATGGCTCTCTCTCACACAGAGGCCAACGAACAAGCCTCATGAGATCTGAAGCTGGACAAATCACCCCTCTTCTGCACCCCAGTCAACTGGTAAACAAGGGACACCGGTGTCTCTGTAGTGGGGACAGCAGCTCACTCTCCAAAGGGAGTGAGTACAGTGTCCCAACACCAGTACACCCTTACCAACGCTGCGACAGCAAATAAACGACAAGGCATGTCATCGCGTGTGCATGCGTGTGGTGCATGCGTGTATGTGGAGACCAGGGAGGGGGACACCGGGTTCGTCACCAACTGCTCTCCACTTTGCATACTAAAGCATGCCTGCCAGTGAGCCCAAAAGCTGCCAATTTGACGAGTCTAACTAGGAAGCCTGCCCAGAGGTCTCCTGTCTCCATCTCCTGAGTGCTAAGGTTACAGTCAGGCCAGGCCGCCACTCCACCTGGCCTCGGTGTGGGGTCTGGGTAGCTACACTCTCCGAGCCTCATGCTCGCACATCAAACCCTTTATCCACCAGCCCACCTCTCCAGATCAACAAGCCATTTTTATGTGAGACCCATCCCGTGAGGTCATTCAGTACCAAAGCACAGTGATGAGCAAAATGGTCATCCTACTTCTCCTAGGACCACGGATTGGGCAGTGAGGCCCAGGCATGGGCTACAAACACCTGCAGGAGGGTCCTTCCAGAGCCACACCTCGGGCCAGCTTCAGCCCCACAGAAGCCGTCCCCGAGAGACGGGGCATCCTACTGGTCCTCCTCAGCAAGGCCGACAAGAGGAAATTCATCTCTCCCACGTCCCTAGAGTTTCAGGCTAAGTCCCTGGTTTGACCCCAGCAACTCTGGACTTCACAGAGATACTTCCGGGATAATTGTACCAACAAACTAATTCCTTTAGGAGGTTTGCTTACAGTCAGGTAAGCAGAGCTACCAAGCCAGATCAGATTTCCCGAAGGCCAGTTCCAAAGTGTCAACGGAGGAAACGGGAAGAAAATCCAGGCGATCTCACTGCACAAGGGCTCTGATGACCTGGACTCGCACCTGACCTGTGTGATTATGCTGTCCACGGTACAGTGGCGATGAAAACTCCTAAACATTTACGGAACTAAGCGGCATCTAGGAAGACTAAAATCTGGACAACGTATAGAGACATTTCAATATTCCCCAGCACGCTACAAGTCTGCCACAGACATCATGATGATGACGACAGCCGTTTATACCCCGAGCCAAACAACAGCAGGCTTCTCTAGTGCGGTTTGAAGTGTCTCATGACCAGGTCTAGCCAGACGGTCCTAGAGGGCCTTGAACCTGCGTTCAAGCCTCCTGCTTGCTTCAGCCTCTTTCGCACTGAGAACGCAGGTGTGCGCCACAGCACCCCCGCCCATTTGCAGGACTCTAAGTGACAGGGCCACGTTCCCGGAACACTTCCTGAGGGGAGTACTCTGGGGGGAGTTCGTGTCTCGTCGAGGCGGTGCCGCCGGCGGCGTGGCCGCTTACCTTCCGGTAAATCATGTGGCACATGGCGACCCTCAGCTTCATCCCCGTGCACTGCACGTGGTAAAAGTACAAGTGGTGCAGGATGGCCAGGATGAGCGTGCATACCGACAGCACCGCCGCGTAGGCGTAGGCTGCGTGCAGGGCCGCCGAGTTGTCGGGGTCATACGCCTCAAAGTACTCAATGATTTTCCCTAGGAATATGGGCTGGACGACTCTGGTGCTTTCCTGAAAGAAAAACAGAAAGAAGAGAAAACACTCATCCTTCACTAGAAATGCAAACCACGCCAATGTCTTTCTCAACGCAAGCTTTGCTTCAACACGCCCCCTCGCCCCTGACCTAGGGGAAAGAAAACTGCTTCCATCATTACTACAGCAAATCAGCATTCTAACCTGAACTCGAAAATCCCATAACACATCAGTAAATCGGCTTTAAAAACAAGCATCTGGCAGGCTGCCAAATAAACCCTGGCTGAAAATGAATAAGAAAAAAAAATCAATAGTGGCCGATGGGGGAAAGGGCTAGTAATTTGCTTAAATACAGGCAGGCCTTGATCCACCCTGCTTCCTGTGACCCCTCAATGTCCCGCCCTGCCTAACAGGAAGCGAAGGTTCGGTCTACACACATGCCAGCTCTTGATCCACCCTGCTTCCTGTGACCTCTCAATGTCCCGCCCTGGCTAACAGGAAGCGAAGGTGTGGTCCATTCACACTCAAGCCCCCTCCTCTGCTGTTCCAGCCTTACCAGCTAATCCGCTTGAGAAAACAAACACAGGACAAAAAAAAAAAAAAATGAATGTCCCAATCTTCCCCAGCTCAGGCTCAACGCACCCCAGACCTTCTGCTGGGCCTCTTGTAAAGGTGCAAGGCCCCCAGGGAGACAGGTGTAATATGTCTCTACCCCCTAGACACTGAAGTATGCCCAGGGTGACTGCTGCCTTCACTGAAACAGCCTAGAATGGACAGCACAAATGGTGGGCTGAAAACTAACAGCCCGGGTGGTTGCCCGCCAGTCTTACAGCACTGGGATTTGACTACAAATCAGGGTCAGTAATGTTCTCTAAGGCAGAAGTCAAAGTCCTACACCGGTAAGTGAGAGGCCCTGGGGAAAGTCACTTTCTGTCTATGGAAGAATGTGAGCCCTCCTGTGCGACAGGTAGTCTCCTGACTCAGAGGCCACTCACTCCCCTTAACCCACTTCCTCCCTGCAAATCTGCACAGTCCCCCCTCCCCCGTGGAAAAAAAAAACAAAAAACAAACACTCACTGCAAATCAAAGTCATTAAAAGTAAACACACAGGCCCATGCCACTTCCTCCTCTTGGAGGATGAAAAGGCAGGCTTGGAAATCTTTCAAACACTTGACTTTGAACAGCTTTCCCTTCCAAACAGCACAGGCACGCACGTTTGCTTCTGAGGACGATTTTCTATCCAAGGGAAGTGGGGATCCGAACCCATACACAACAGGGAAAGAGAAACAAAAAGCTAAAATGTCTTCCCAAAGAGCTGGTCCCCAGTCAGCACATTTACAGGAGACTCCCCAGTTCCTCAAATGACACCAGATCTTACACTCTGTACACACACACACACACAAACACACACCATTCTGCTTTTCACAAGGTCATGGGAGTTCTGTATATTACATGCTACTCAATAAAAGGTCTTCACAGATCTACAAGAATGACACCAACTGACATTAAGGCTACCTTAAATGCCCTCCCATGATAATGAGATTGAGGACTTCCTTATATGCCATCATAGAACTCTCATCCAGTGGCTGATAGAGGCAGAGGCAGACACCCACAGCTGTGAACCAAATTGAACTCCTGGAACCCAGTTGCAAAGAGGAGTGATGAGCAAAGGAATCAAGACCAGGCTGGTGAAACCCACAGAGGCAGCTGACCTGAACAAAGGGGGAACGCATGGACCCCAGACTGATGACTGAGAGACCCGCATGGGAATGATCCAGACCCCCTCCCCCCAGAACCTGGATGTCAGAGAAGAGGCCTCGGCAATCTGTGGGACCTTGAAGAGTAGATCAGTATTTATTCCTGGCATACAGATGGACTCTGGGAGCCCATTCCACATAGAGAGATGCTCTCTCAGCCTGGACATATGGGAGAGGACCTAGGCCCTGCACGGGATGATGTGACAGACTCTGAAAATCCCTCATGGAAGCCTTTACCCTCCCTGGGGAGTGGGGGGGGAGAATGGAGTGCAGTGGGGGGTTGGGAGGATTGGGAGGCCGGGAGGGAGAGGGAACTGAGAGTGACATGTGTAAAAAGTTAAATTATGTATGTATGTATGTATGTAAATGTGTATGTGTATGTATATGTATATATGTATGCATATGTATCATGGAACCTGATGGAAAAAATAAATAAATACAAGGTCATGGGAGTTCTGTGTATTACACACAAGGAGGACATGCTACTCAACAAAAGCATGACAGTCAAGGTCATCAGACCCCAAGGACTCCGAGGCTCTTTGTTGCTTCTATCCCCAGTGACATCTTTGAAGAAGCACAGAGAACCAATTCCAGAGTACCTGACACCACGGTCTGTACAATGGCTGTGCAGCATTTACTAAGATGAAACCCCCAGGGTTTTACCCTGACAATCAAGGAGGCCAGGCTGCTCCTGTGGGGGGGGGGGGAGACCTAGGCCCTAGGATCAGTCATGACAGCTGGGTCAACAGCACACTAACCTGGGCCCTCCACCAGGTGCCCAGGAGCGACTCGGACCATCTCATATCTGCCTGATGCTCTGAATGAAGTCGTGGAGTTATTGTCACCTCCTCACAGTCCTGACAGGCTGTGGCTCACAAGGAGTGAGCGTGCCAGGGAAGACTGGGCAAATTCAACCAAAGAAGTGGCCAAGGACAGTCAGGTCTCCGTTGCTGTGTTTCAGCTGGGACATGATGTCTAACAGTCCCTTTAAGTACACGGGCTCCTAATGGGTAACACGGCTTGTGGTCGATGCGTACCCTCCTCCCATGGACCTGTCCTCTTGATCCCAACCCTCACCTAGGAAGAAACCATGAAGCAACTACAAAAATACTTATGGCCACCGGGCGTTGGTGCCGCACGCCTTTAATCCCAGCACTCGGGAGACAGAGGCAGGCAGATCTCTGTGAGTTCGAGACTAGCCTGGTCTACAAGAGCGAGTTCCAGGACAGACTCCAAAGCCACAGAGAAACCCTACCTGAGAAATAGCTGTCTTCAAGGGCTCAGAGGCTGGGACACGGCCTAGCACCACTTGAAAGAAACAAACAAACAAAAAAACTTATGATCAAACTTTTTAACCGAACAGAATTAAGCTTTCTGGGAACTAGAGAGGTGAAGGTAAAAATGTAGCCGGGTACGTGTTGACGACGTGCCTATAATCCCAGCATTCAGAGCTAGAGGCAGGAAAATACCAGTTTGGAGCCGGCCTGAACCGCGTAGAAGAGTCTGTCTCCAAAGGAAAGAAAAAGGACCCACCTTCATCTTAGATTCTTTCTGTGCCCCACCAAAGAAGCTCCCTGCCCTCTGTAACCTCCGAATTCTCAACTGAAATCTCATGGAGCTTTAAGAGAGCAGGACGATCCCTCAAGGCGCCAGCACCCCAAGTTCCGCGGGCGCTGTTCAACCTTTGGTCCACGCTGTCATCAACGAAGCTCTGTTAGAACCACACAGTCGAGCTTCCCAGTCCCCCCACCCCCACTAAAAAAAAAAGGAAAAAACAATCACACACACGAAAAGTAGACGTTTTAAGTAAGCGTATGGCTTTGTGTTGGCACAGCTATGCGCCGCAGTGGTGATAGACCCTGTGTCCCAGCCTCTGAGCCCTGGAAGGCAGCCATTTCTCAGTGGAGATTTGGTGAGTGGCCTCCACGATCTCGGCACTTGGGCAAACCGCTTTGTCCTGCAGGGTAACTTACTAAGGAGCTTGATGGGACATTGTCCACACTGGGGGACGTGGGGGGACTCCTGCGTGCTATCTTAGGACCCGAAACACTTGCTGTCCGGTTTCCCAGTCCCTGATCTGTGTGATGGAAACAAAGCGTAGGAAACTGAAAAGACCCTGGAAGAAAACCAGGCTGGAGGGAGACCCGCATGCGGCAAGGAATGAGCTATGGGGGAGGCGGCGGCGGAGGCGGCGGAGGGCAGGCGGGGACTTTAGAAAGGAGGGACAAGGGACAAGGGTTAAGTGGAGGAGACTGGAGACAAGGAGCACAGCACATCCGGGGGGTCTCAGAGATGATGGGGGGGCTTCTATCCCGACTGTGCCATGAGACCGCGGAGATGGGCGTAACCCACTCATGCCCAGATTCAGATCCCAGGGACAAAGCGTGTGGGGCCTGAGCTCTCCTGCCAAAGGAGGTTCCTGAAGGCAGAAACCAGTCCCGGTGAACGACACTATTGTTTGCCCTGCCCTGTCCCTGTGTCTGACTGAGTCTTAGGACGCGCTGTGTGGAAACTGCAGGGCCTTAGCTGGTTTCAGTCAGGACTGCTCCCATACAGACAGTGTGGGTCAACACAGGAGTACACAGGAACCCAGAACCTACAAGCTTCAAAACCACACAACAAAGCACTTGAGCTCAACACAGCAGGGAGAAGTCAGGGTGCAGGAAACACTGTGTTCACCAAAGGGAAAGGTGATTCATCACCGGCTTTTAAAGTGACCTCCAGCCATCGAGATGGCTCACTGGGCAATGGCGCTTGCTGCACAAGCACGGTGACCTGAGTTTGACCCCTGGAGCCCATGGTGGAAGGAGGGAACTGACTGCCAAAAAAGTGTTCTTTGACCTACACACACACACATACACACACACACACACACGCTCATACTCACACACTCATATACACACTCAAACTCACATGCACATAGATGACACATACTCACGCTCACACACTCACACAGAGACACACTCACACACTAATGCTCACACACTCACACACACAGGCTCACTCACACACACACTCTCATACTCACACACACTCATATACACACTCACATATACATACACGACACATACTCACACTCACACACTCACACAGAGACACTCACACACACACGCTCACTCACACACACTCTCATACTCACTCACACACTCATATACACACTCACTCACACATACTCACGCTCACACACTCACACACAGAGACACACTCACACGCTAATGCTCACACACTCACACTTGCAAACACACACAGACACACACTCATATATACACACTCACATATACACATGACACACGCTCATGCTCACACACTCACACAGACACACACATTCACACACTCACATAAACACACACTCACACACAGATACACATACAGACCATGCACACACTCTCTCACACACACACACACACGACTTAACTGAAATACAAGTATCTCTTAAAGGAGCATGGGAAGGCAACAGAGGAGACAAGAGCAGCTTTCTTTAGAGATTATCTCTTTTCTGGGTCAACAAAATCGCTCCTGAGCCCCAGCGGGGAATGTCAAAGGACCACTCACAGTCTGAAAACCATTCAGAACACAAGAAGTTAAGAAACTCTCTTGATTTTTTTTCCCCACGCATACTACACCTCAGGGTAAACAGAAGGCTATCCAGGGCAGACTTAGCCATTGAAGGAAGACTACAAACGGCAAATGAGGTGGAAAATCACTGCCCACGCCACCATTTTGGAGCTGTCTACCCTTGACCGTGAACATCTCCTAAGAGCACACATGGGAAAACAGTGCAGGCCGGGTCCCCGGTAGCGATGGCATGCAGCACCAGCCGCGGATGAAGTCCCCCTGCCAGTGGGGCGGAGTCAGGCGCACTTCTTATCTACAACTCCTCCCGTCTGGAGGAGAAGGAGGAGAACGTGTTCCGTGACTCAGGAGGAGAATGCCATCGGGGCCAACCCAGACTGTGGGAACCACCGCTAGACAAGCAGCTCAGTGTGTTCACAAAAGCCACCACAGCGAAGGTAACCGCAGAGTGAAGGACAGCCGGGGAAACAGAAGCAAAAAACCAGCTAAGTCAACGACGTGCACCTCGTGGGAAACCGGTGCTGTGGAGCTGGGCAGCCAGTTAGGGGCACACACACACACACACACATGCCTATGCCCTCTCCTGGTGCCTGCTGTGGAACCGGGCAGCCAGTTAGGGGCGGGCACACACACACACACACACACACACACACCTATGCCCTCTCCTGGTGCCTGCTGTGGAACTGGGCAGCCAGTTAGGGGCGGGCACACACACACACACACACACACACACACACACACACGCCTATGCCCTCTCCTGGTGCCTGCTGTGGAACTGGGCAGCCAGTTAGGGGCGGGCACACACACACACACACACACACACACACACACATGCCTATGCCCTCTCCTGGTGCCTGCTATGGAACTGGGCAGCCAGTTAGGGGCGGGCACACACACACACACACACACACACACACACACACACACGCCTATGCCCTCTCCTGGTGCCTGCTGTGGAACTGGGCAGCCAGTTAGGGGCGGGCACACACACGCGCGCGCGCGCGCACACACACACACACACACACACACACACACACACACACACGCCTATGCCCTCTCCTGGTGCCTGCTGTGGAACTGGGCAGCTAGTTAGGGGCAGGCACACACACACACACATACACACACACACGCCTATGCCCTCTCCTGGTGCCTGCTGTGGAACTGGGCAGCCAGTTAGGGGCAGGCACACACACACACACACATACACACACACACACACACACACACACACACACGCCTATGCCCTCTCCTGGTGCCTGCTGGTACTGTACTCATGGTACACATAATTACAAGAGATGATGTGTTGGGTGGGTGGGTGGGGTGGGCGGGAGGGCGGGCGGGCGGGCAGACGGGCACCAGCTACATTGGTGCCTGTACTGATAATCCCAACTATCTAAGCTGACCTGGGGTTAGAAGAACCCTCGAGTCCAAAAGCCCTAGTTGGCTATGCAGTACTCAAATTCATCAATAAAATGTAGGTTAAAAAACTCCCAGAGGAGTTCCGCGTGCTTTTGAGTCACCAGAGAAACACACAGTGCCACGCTGAGCTCATCCTTCTACTACATAAAACCCGAAAGACCAATGAGCAGCACAGAGAAGAGATCACAAAAAAAACCAAGAAATCAATTCGCAACATCAACTACTAAACCACGCGTGGCTCATCCCATCTGGCTCAGGAGCGAGCCACAGGGACGGAAACGCGATGGTTCACAGTGACCGCCAATCCTACCGGGCACGGAATTACCCAGGAGATATACATCTGGGCACGCCTCTGAGGGATTTCCGAGTGGGGAGACCCGCCCTGAGTGTCAGTGGCAACATTCTACAGACCAGAAACCTGGGATGAGTAAGGAGGACAGGCCAGGACGCTGACATTCATCACTCTGTTTCCTGGCTACGGATGCAATACGACCACTGCCTCCTGTGCCAGGGCTATATGAGCTCTTCAAACCGCGAGCCCCAGCAAGCACTTCCTTCTTCAAGTTGCTTTTGCCGAGTACCAGAACTCAGCCAAGAGTAAAGGGAGCATACGCAAAAGTCACAATCATCATCAGAAGGCAATTCCTTCTTGTGTCTTGAGACAAGGTTTCGCCAGCCCAGCCGACCTGAACCGTCCCCTGGTCTTTCTCAACCTCCCACCTATTTGAGAAATAGGCATGTGCCACCACACCCATCGGGACATGAACTCTTGAAACGCATCCAGATCCTCACTAGCTTCTCCGCCAAAAATCATCAGCATCAGTGGGCCAGTCTGTGAAAACTGTTCGTACTGGAACGCACGCTTCTTGATTGAGTGACAGGAAAAAGAAAAGGGTAAATCCCAAAAGTTTTCCTTGCGGGACCCAAGTGACTCGTTGCTCCTCGGATTTCAGTGCATCGGAAGGCCTGCTAGTTGTCACAGCAGAGACACAAAATCAGTGTGAGCCTCCAACTCCGGTCACCGTGTCCGGCAAAGGAATTAAGCAGTCTGGTCCAGTATTAGGCCATAAACCAACTAGGCAGCGCTCTAAATACAGCCCCATGTAAAAGCTCTAACGGGGAAGGCGTTCTTTTCACAGAGGATGTCGAACATGGGTATGTGAGGCAGCCCAACCTCAGAGACAGGACTCCGGGTCCACCTGGACACCCTGGACACGCTGACCCCACCGGTGACCGCCACTTTCTAGTACCTCGTGGAACTTTCTGGCCCCAGGAGATGCTGTAACTCGGAACATGTCCTAATGGACAAATGTGCATGTGCCACTAAAGCGCCAAGGCCACCTTGGCACCATCATCCCAGGGCTAAAGTCAAGCAACCCCCCACGAGAGATGCTAAGGGCAAAGTTCATGACCTCAGGCCAGCCTGGGTCCAGACAGTCTGGGTTCACCTCAGAGCGCCTGAAACGAAAACTCAGCTCTGGCCGGGCTTTGGTGGCACACGCCTTTAATCCCAGCACTGTGGAGGCAGAGGCAGGCGGATCTCTGTGAGTTCGAGGCCAGGCTGGTCTGCAGAGTGAGTTCCAGGACAGCCTCCCAAACAATACAGAGAAACCCTGTCTTGAAAAACAACTCGGCACTTGTTGGGGGAGGTGCTGCTCACAATAAGAAAACCTCCCACCTCACCAAACCCCTAAAAGGAATAAAATTAAGATCGTGTACAAAGGGTTCAGACACAGTCCCTGGTAGGCTGCATTTCTCGAGCACATTTCTTCCATTACTGAGCGGCCGGCACCCAGGTCAGGATGCTCTCACAACGACGGCCTTGTAACTCCAGCTCTGGGGAAGCCACCCTCTTCCTCTGGCCTCCTCAGACATCCCAATACATGTGGCATGAACACGCGTACGCATAAATAAAAACGCACATAATGTTTTCTCTCTTAAACACACCACCAGGGAGACAAGGAAGTCACACAGCCAGATCTCCAGGATCCCCTCCAGCAAGCCACTGACGAGCACGGGCCCTGTCACCTAGGCAGGAGACTGTCTTACCGAACAGCCCTGAAGGGTCCCGCGACTTTTCTCAGTCAATGGTTTATCGGTGAATGGCCACTTGTAGCTACTCTGCAATCCCGAGCTAGCAAAACTCAACCTTAGAGCAGCAATCTGTTCCACAGCAAGAACTGATGCCCAGGGTGAGTGAGCGGCACAGAAGGTCACTGGAGTTCAAGCTGGACCGCGGCCTGGACTAGGTACAGTTCTCAATGTGCAGCCACTGGGAAGAGGACTCCCGGGCTCCAGTGAGTCCTGGCCTCTGGGACACCAGGGTTAGCCCAGGTAAATGGCATCAAGTCTTATTTACCTGGGCAGGGGAAGTTGACAATACCGTCCCCAGGAAAGCATTTATTGGACTTGGCATAGCGAACTTAACAATTACTTGCCGGGCACTGGTTATTCTGGGCTCTGATCCAAATGCACTTCTTCGAAACCACAGGACATGTCTCCTCAAGTGATCAAAGACGACTCTGTGCGTCTACAGCACCGGCCGGACACCGGCGTTACAGCGGGTTGTACGCGACACTGCCGGCTGCCTTTGACACTGGATTCTAAAAATGCATTTACTGTGTGTGTGTGTGTGTGTGTGTGTGTGTGTGTGTGTGCACCTGAGTGTAATGTATGTGCACTGGGCATATGCTTGAGTCCAGTGAAGATGGTGTGAGATTCCCTTGAACTGGTGGATGTTTGAGAGCCACCACATGGGAATCAAACCCCAGATCTCTGCAAGAGCAGTGAGTGCTTTTAGCTGCTGAGCCGGAACACTGGATTTCAACACTCAGAAGAAACGGTAACACCCTTCACCTTCAGTCACCTGAGCACCTCCCGCCCCAAAGACACACCCAAAGACACGCCTTAATGAACTCCATCACGCCCCTTCCCTGAGCTCGACACACTCTGGAAGCTCATCTGGCCTTGTCTCCCTCCCTGCTGGCTCCCCTCAGCTCGACAATGATCGCAGTCCTTGTCCACCCACTCAGAAACAGGTGCCGGGATGTAACAAACACTTACCTCTATTAACGTAAAAATTCCCAGAACCAGGTAAGATTTCCAGTAACACCTTATGATCGCCCTGGTTAAGGAAGGCTTCCGTGCGTCCTTCTTGGCTCTCAGAAGTTCTTTATCCCAGTACCTACGATAAGACAGAAGCTGAGTCAGCAACACCATGCGCGGCCATTGCGTAAAAGAGAGAGCTTACAGGAGGCCGGACAAGTGTTTGTGGCAGGGTTATCCTGAGGATGCTGTACTAACAGTGGCTAATTGTCCCTAGGGACCCAGAAAGATGCGTGAGGCAGACTTTGTTGCACCAGAAAAAAAAAAATGAGCCTCAAGGGGGAACATCTCAGGGAACAAGTTACTGCTGAGCTTTGCCGGAGTACAGCAACCTCCGTAGGCAGAGAAGGCACCTGCTCTGGTGTAAACCACCTCCCAGGTCAGATCTCAGACACAGAGGGACTGAGGAGCAGGCTCCTCCAACATCTACCAACACAGCCTGTCTTTCCCCAGGGAGCTCAGTCAGGCCCAGCCAGGACAACCTGAGGGGAGCAAGGCCTATGGCAAAGCAAGGGACCTAGGGAGGCCAAGCCCACTGCCAGTCACACACCGCACACACATGGCTCCGTCTTCTTCCCTCCCCTTCTCGTCTCTGCACACACCGGCCCGCTCCATCTTCCCTCCCCTTCCCTTCTCTTCCGGCTCCACACGGCTTACCCTTGCAGCTCCTCTCCGAGGTGCTTTGAGCGGTCTTCTGGAAGCACCGAGTACATGTCATCTTCCTCCAACCTCCGCGTATGGCCGGTTTTAAACAAGGGGTTGAGCCACCTGTTAAAGAGTCAAAGGGATGACATACTCAGAACGGCATGCTTGTGTCTAAGTAGACTCCCACCTTAGACCACATACGCACACACACACACACACACACACACACACACGCACGCACGCACGCACGCACGCACGCAGACGCTGTAGTTCTACACACTGGAAGACCCTGGAGGCAGTGACACCCCAGCCAAGGAGAGCGCTCGGACATCCAAATAGCCCCACCTTCATTTCTTAATGGCATCCTCCCTTACGAAGACCACGGCTCCTTTAAAAGGGCTGATCACAAGGGGCAGGAAAGGTACTAGATAGACCTCAATTGCTCAAGGAATATGATGACAGGGCCAAGGATGGGGAAAAGCTAGGCAGAGGGGTCCTACTGGGCGAGTCCGGGAGGGCCTGGGAATCCAAATCAGTAAGACCGGCAGTGCACTATAACCAACGAACAACACAAGAACCCGGAGTCCTTAGCAAGACACGAGAGGGAGAGCTCCTGCACAGAGGGCACAATACAGTTAGAAAGTCACCAGCAGAGATGGGGGTGTTGTAGAGTAGCAGAGAGCTTGCCTAGCATGCACTGGGCCCTACACTCAATCCTCAGCCCACCATCTTCCCCCAAAAGGAAAGGACGACTACCAAGAGAGGCTGGGACCCAAGGCACGGTGAGAAACGGGGTGTCCTACGTAGCTGTAGCTGCCAACCTGACTCACCCTACAGTGACTCAGAAGGGAGCCTCAGCAGGATGGCCCAAATCACACTGGACTGCGGGCACGTCTGTGAGCGGATCGCCTTGACCCTTAACTGACGCCTGAGGGTCCAGCTCCGTGTCGAGAAGTGTCATTCTGTCAATGGGCGGTCAGGGCTGGCTATGCAGCATTCCTCCATGGTTTCCCCTTCACGTTCCTGCTTGAGTTCCTGACCTGATTTCCCTCGGGGATGGGCGCTGCGGTGACCCGGAAGTGTACGCCAAATAAACCCTTTCCTCCAAGTTGTCCCCCCCCCCCCCCCCGCTCAGAGTGTTTTATCGCAGCAGCAGAAAGAAAACTAGAAGATGGGGTAATAATACAACTTTTTATTATCTTTGTACAGATTTTATTTTTTTTCAAAGGAAAAAGAGTAACTAAGCAAGACCTCCCCCCTCCAAAAAAAAAACCTCATTTAAATACCTTTATCCTTTTTTACTAGTAAAACCGAAGTAGTAACCACCCAGTAGGAATCGCTTAAATAATGACACGCAGAAGTCACTCAAGGGTGCACATGACTTTTTTGATGTTGCAGGATAAGGACATTTCCAGGACCAGACAATACTAACCCCCTGAAGCAGAGAGCATGTTCCTCTTGTTGACTGACTGACTGACTGACTGACTGACTGACTGACTGCTTGATTGATTGATTGATTGATGGATGGATGGATGGATGGATGGATGGATGGATGGATGGATTGATTGACTGCTTGATTGATTGATTGATTGACTGCTTGATTGACTGCTTGATTGATTGATTGATTGACTGATTGATTGCTCTAGAATAGTACAGACACAAGCTGGGCAGCAGGGGGGGGCTCCATGAACGTTGTTGACTCTATAAGCCATCAGGACACAGTCTCAGAAACTGAGCCCTAATCTTTGCCAACTCCAGTTGCTTGGTTCCTCCAAGGAATCTCAGTCTAGAAGCAAGGAGACAAGAGCCTTTTTCCAGCTCTGGTACTGGGGACTCAGCCCCCTCCCTGGCCTCTGTCATCTCCCCCCCCCCACTTCTATGAGCTCATTTCCTCCGTCACCTGTCATGACATCTTGAGGCCTCTGTATCTTCCCTAAAACATACACCCATCAGTGAGGCTTACCACTAGCCAGCTATGGAAACCTGCTTGGTCCTTTATTCTATGGTTGGAGCTGGCTGGTGACCAGTGCCCCGGGAACCACTCTCTAGGGAAAAGACTGGGTGTGGGAAACCCTCCAGCCTCAGAGTCTAGATGCGGCTGCTTTCCGGCTGTACGGCTGCTATCCCACAGGTGCTCAGTCTCCCCGCCTCCCCCCCCGCCGCCCCGCAGTCCCCCAGCCTGGGGCAAATGAAAGGACACCTGGAGATGCTTCGAGGATCTGCTGTGGTGTGGGGGTGGCTGTGGACCATACCGAGTCCCAAAAGACAAACACCAGCCACTATGGTGGTCTGACCATGCATCCAAGGGAGCCCAGCACAGTCACTTCCCCACCAAGACTGCATCAGCCCTCCCCGGCCCCCACCCACAGGGACAGTCTGTCAGCTTTGTGGTAAAGCTTCGGGAGGCGGAAGAGGGATTATGCGTCTGTCCCTCTTGGGCAACTCCATGTGGGTCCTTCCAGAAGGCTTTGATAAATGCCAATTACTAAATCAAGAAAAGATCTTCCATCTTGGCTCTCAGGCCAATGTCCTCTTTGGTGGGCCTGGTTTAGAGGGGACGGTGTAGTCTGGGAGGCCGCCGTTCAAGGGGGTTCTGCAGGACAAGGTTCTCAGTAGCTCCGGGGAGCAAAGTGTGCAGTGCTCAGGACCCTCCAAAGGAGACATGTGACTGGGAGCTATGACAGCTCCCCAAGACTATGGCATACATACATCCCAAGGGCTCCCAAGGCAAACGGAAGGTTCTAGGGAGCTCGGGTGTCCCTGCCCTGTCCACCCTGGCTGACACCCTCCCCAGGGAACACTGGTCACCTTGCCCGCCCTGGCGCGATGTAGGTGGGCTTCCTAGGCAAGTCTGAAACGCCGCCCACACGACCGAGCTCTTTCTTCCAGTAGAGCATCTAGTATTTTCTGGTCGGTACTTCTAGGTGGAATTCATCAGCATTTTCTCAGGCTTAAAAGGACTCGTCGTGGTTTGCGGTGGGCTTTTGTTTGGTTTTGTCTCGAATCAGCAGGTAAACACAGACTGGAGAGGAAACGGAATGGTGGAGAAGGCACGTCCGGAACTTTCCCACGAAGCTGGCCCAGAGAAGTGGCCAAAGGACCACTCGGAGTGCACAGGCCCCGAGTTCAAACCCAAGAACCAACCCCTCGGAGAGAGCAAAGAGAGGGGAGCAGGAAAATAACACTGGTAACCATGTCCAGTGAAACCGGGCAGGGAACTACATTTGTGCCATACGCAGGGACGTTAGAGACAGGGATGCAGCGTCACATTAAGAAATATAAGCTCAAGGGACTCAAGGTTTCCTTTAGAAGATGCCACAAATTGACTCTCGCAGGTTCCCTCGCGACCCAAATCTCAAAAACACAGACTGAGACAGGGGGTTTAATTTGTCTTTAATCACCCGTGTAATAAACTATAGACGGTCACATGCCACATTATGACACTCTGATGAACAATAACTGATCACGCTACAGCAACCCCTAGGACTTTACAAAGCCAAGTGACACCGCTGGCCACCTTAACGTACGCAAGCACACACGGTTACCAGGGCGGCAAAACTGCCTGGTGACAGTTTCTCTGAACGCATCTCATGCTTAAGCAACGGCTGGTTACACACGGAGACCCAGGCCGACCGGTGCCTTGAGTCTAATTTCTCCCTGGGGGAATTTAGACAACAATCCAGGGCCGCTGTCAAATGAGCCGCTCTTGACTCCTGTGCTCCCAACAGTCCTCCTCCCTGGCTCAGCTGATGGTGCGGGCAGAGCCTGATGCAGAGTCCAACTCTTTCATAGCAGCCAGCACCCCCCCCCACACACACACACACGCTACTCACAACCCCTGCTGGGAACACAGTGGCTGGTGGGATGGGCGCACGGTCGGCAGCTACCGGGTGGATGGCATCTTGCACAGCACAGATGGGCAGATCATGTTGAGCAGTGGGCCCAAAGCGTGACTCATGGGTAAGTCAACCTGAGACGCCACCCTCAAGTCCAAACACAGGAAGCCATTAGCTCAGAGACAGATAGCCGCCTGGATGGCAGCTGTCCACTCCATTATCTCAGCCCTCGGGCAATCACTCCCAGCCGGCAGGAGGGTCTCTGCAATAAAGATGCTCACCCAACGGTATGGGTGTTTTCCTTAGCGATTTGTCTGGCCTTCACCTGGGCTCGAACACACAGTGTCCATGAACGCCACACCTACCCAACATGCGGGCAAAAGAAACAAACCCTAGTCTCCCAGAGAGCTAGTTAATTCTCTCTCCTTTTCCTTCCCACTCTTTCCTCCTTACTATCCCGACGGCCATTCCCACTTCTCTCTCCCTCTCCTACCTGTGACGGAACTAAATTCTTACTTCATTACTGGATAGCTTTGGATGTGTAGACCAGGGCATTGGATTGGGACAGCTATAGACACTTGGTAGCTGTTGAGTTAATCCTGCGCGCTCTCTCTCTCTCTCTCTCTCTCTCCTCTCTCTCTCCCTCCCTCCCTCCCTCTCTCTCTCTGTCTCTCTCTCCCTCCCTCCCTCTCTCTCTCTGTCTCTGTCTCTCTGTCTCTGTCTCTCTGTCTCTCTGTCTCTGTCTCTGTCTCTCTCTCTCTCTCTCTCTCTCTCTCTCTCTTTCCCCAGTGAACCAGCCCCATATTTCATGTACCTTTCAGAAGCCGAGCCTAATAAAGCCAAAGCTACAACCTATTAGAAAGAAAAGGCTCTCCTCCCTGGTAATAAACACACAAAAAGGAACAGACCTGGTAGGGGAGATAGGCTCTGTTGCGGGAATCAGGTGATGCAGTGTCTGTGCTCACGCCTATAAAGGTGACCAGGGCCACAAGTTAGGTGAGAATTTGCACAGCAAAGAGGGGTGAAGACACCTAGGATGTCAAACTTGCAGCCCACTTAAAAGGCGTGTGCCTGAGTCTCCTAAAACTAGTTTCACATCTGAGAGAGAGAGAGAGAGAGAGAGAGAGAGAGAGAGAGAGAGAGAGAGAGAGAGAGAGAGAGATGTGTGATGGTGATGGCGCATGCCTGTAATCCCAGCACTTGGGAGGAGGAGGCAAGAGGTCTGGAATTCAAATATATCCTTGGCTATATAGTAAATAGGAGGCCAACTTGAGCTACAAGGAACCC